CAGGATTTATATATGAGATTGATAATTGTTCGCCGTTTTCAGCTTTTACATTATATGTATTTATTGTAAGGCCTGTGACCACTATGCTTACTGTACAAATTAAGTCTTAAAATATACACACTTTACATTTCAGGTTTTTGAGTAGTTGATGCAAAATGGACACTCTGATTGACTTATTGGATACAGATAAATGGACCGAGGTAAATTCTGCTGATCGTGGAGAGGGTAAGCAATCAATGTGTCTTAAAACGAGACGTGACGTACTAAAATATTGGATAAATGCACGTGTTAAATCGTATTTTCTACTTTAGGATTCGTCGAATGTGCCATTAACAGGAACGCTAAGCAAGTCGATCCGAACACTCTCGCCATAATGATTGCAGACGATGCCGGAAACTGCAGAACCGTGACTATTAACAACACAAGGGAAAATAAAAATCCGGTAAAAAACGTCGGGCGAGCGGAAATTAAGCTGGACGAGGAGGGCAAGACGGTACTGGGGATAGATATCGATGGCGACTGTGTGGTTGCAAAAAGCTAATATTTAAAGGCTTACCGGTTATGTGGACAGAAGTTTGTCCTCGCTCAACTCATCATATGCACGACAGCAAGGTTGAAATAAGTGACTTGTAACTAATGTGGCATCTCCCAGCATTTTATAATTTTATACCTTTGAAGTGTGCACGAGATATTGTGTGTCTGATGTATCATTCAGTTTGTGGCTATACCTGATTAAATGGAACTTATTATGTGTTTTCTTTTTTATTAATCACGACTAAATTCATTAATACAGTGTATTATATTAATAACAATAGTTCACAGGCGTAAGTTAACCAGTTGTTAACTACAGCTGCACATTACAAATATCTGAGGTTATATAAGCTGGAAAAAAAGCACACCTTAGTGTCCTATGTTTATGACTAAGAGGAAGTAAATTTACCACGATCTCCTGTTTTTGTGATCAAGTACGTTTTCATCCGTGATACACGAGCCTTTGGCATGTTTGGAAAAAGCGAAACAATATGACTACGCTAAAAATAGTGCCTTTGTTTAAATAAAGGCAAAAATTAAAGTACTTATCTATGTTATGTCTTTTATTTCATTGGTTAAATCAATTATCAATTCTTTGATCTTCAAAGCAAATGCATCATAATAACGGTCATGACATTTGTTTTACAAGTCACGAGACGAGGCATTGGAATACAAAGTGTGGGATATGAAAATTTATCCGATGACTGATATCCAACCTATAAAGGAGTAAAACTGACATAAGAAAAATTACTATATTACAACCCAATCCAACCCCCCCCCCCCCCTCCAGCATCACCAAACACCAAGTACCGGTAAGTGACAATAGGTAGACATATGGTCCTGGGGCCCGTTTTACAAAAGAACTTACGACTAAGACCAAAAACTTTGGTTGATTGTAAAATTTTGCAAAATGAATGATTCTGTTTAAAATTACTAGCGTTAAAATATCTTTCTACATCCCTTTTAAAAAGATTAAAACCATTTTCAATTTCATGTAAATTAGAAAGTTATAAGCAGAATTAAATTTTGGTCATAGTCGTAAATTCTTTTGTAAAACGGACCCCTGGCTTAAAAGAATCTACTGGACATCAAGGAAACAAGATGTGTTGTACCATTATAAACTATACCTGATTATTTCACATTATTTATTTGTGTAGAAACTTTCAACAAAGATAACATGAGCATAGCAAATACAATGTACAAAAATACAAGCCCTTTAAAAAAAATGAAGAATACATACAGAAAAATACAAATAATTTTAAACAAAGCCTTGCGGCTGTACTCTTTAAAGTTTCCATAAAACAAGAATATATTAAACACATGAAATAAATAAAGTCATTTAATTAAAAGCTCTGGTAAATGTTACCAAACATAAACCGTTCTTGCATAAAGCAGCATTTGTATCATACTCCCTGTCGATTTAATCTTTACTATGGTATGTAAATTTAGTTACAAATCCACAACATACTCAATGAAAAGAACATCTCTTTCAGTTCAATTTTCCCCTCTGTTCATTCATATAAAATGTATGCTTTCATGATTATCATTTTCTATTAGAAATAATAATTAAAATGCACACAATTTCAGCAAACCTTGTGGGCAAAATTTTTACAGAAATAGCCTTTTTTCTTCACAATTTTATACAGGAATAAATGTAATAGTCATTTATCCCAGTATTTCTCTTATCAAACGATCAATAAACCGTAAGTCTTTCATTTTACACAGGTAGTTTTTTAAATGAAGGAAAAAGTTGTATTTCTGCTCATCTGTAGTGGTTCCTGAGAGTATGAACTGAAATCTTAAAGGAAAAACAGTAATATTGTACAAATATCTTATTTGAACGAATTCCTCCCATAGCACTTCTTGTCATGACACCTTTCACTATAACTGTGTAGGAACACGGTCAACCCTAAGTTACCTGGTGTGTCCCAGATCTTAATTTTATCCTGACATAAGCAATTAATAATTAATAAGCAGCTCATAATGATCAAACATACATGTGTAATTCTTCTGAGGACATGAACTTTAAAATCAGTTTGGAAATGCTAAGAGAATAATAGTTTAATTAGTTTAAAGTGTGAACATTTCACTGTATAATAAGATATTGTTTTCCCTTAATTCATTCTCCCAATAAAACTGAAAGAGTGAATGCTCATTATGCTGAAAATATGCAAATCAAACACCAGCCACATGTGGTGCTTAATTTCACCACCACCCCAAAATTTAAACCCCTCCTACAGTATTTTCAAAAATCATACAGATTCCCCTCCCCTCCCTTTTTCAATTTACTAACCTCATTTAGAACTGGCATGAAAAAAGTACAGGTCCTGTTCTGTCTTTAATCTGACAAATTGCATTTATGACAACATTTTTCTTCTAAAGTGAGAAACTACATGTAAAAGACAAACACATAATGCATATTCTTCTGGAGTAACATTGATACACATTATTGATTTAAATAAATAGTTTTGACAGAAAAAAAAACTTAACAAACTTTAAAATAATTGAAATATATATAGACATACATGAATCTAACACCTACCTAATATGTAAACATTATGCAGATATTGTATTATGTGGTAAAATGTATTCTAGCAGATAAAAATCAGCTCTCTTACTTGCACCCACACAGGGATTTAACAAAGAGTCACAGAAAGTGTGGATTCTCAAAAAAAAAAAAAGAAAGAAAGAAAAAGAAAATGAGAGCTACACATGTAATTTAAATCAAACTGACAAACTAAATCCTAAAGGATGCAAAAATTTGTATCACAATTATTTTTACTGACAATTTTTACTATGATTTTATATGAATTTCCATGTAATTTTTCTAGAAAATATATTGTGAAAACATAACTCCTTTTTTTATTTATAGGTTAACAAATCATGTTTGGATGCTAGGATGCTGTTGTTTTACAAATTTTTTTTTTTTTAATTTTTTTTTTTTTTTTACAATTCCAGTAATTGTAATTCAAAAGTTGAAAAAAAAAATTATTTCCGAAATTTAAAAATAAATACTTTTACTGAATACCGGTATTTTAGTCTCTGTCTCATATGATATGTACTGCGCAATAAATACACACATGTACTGGTTTATGGATAAAATCTCTCATCCCTATAAATCCTGTTGGTTTGTTTGTTTAAAGAACAATATATTAAATCTTGGTAAAGGAAAAAACAAAAATTAAATTTAATGTTTGAAATAAACCTCGCTATCCTAAACCCAATGGGGCCAAGGACCAAGGAAAAATTTTGAGATATCAGATGATTCAAGATACTGCGGTTTAAATATATAAAAAAAAAAATTGGTTGGGTTTCCAAGTCACTTTGACAAATCCACGGTATTCATGAAATCAACATTCAAGGTACTAAACCTTATCTGTAAAACATTACAAACAAACAAACAAATAAAAAAAATAAACAGTCAATAAAAAAAATGTACAACAAATGAACATGTACATTGACTTTTTTCCTTCAATACAACCAAGACAAAAAAAATCATGTTCATATATTCTAAATTAATTGTTAAAAAGTTTATTATTAAACTTTAAATTTCAATCTAAATTCATCAAAAATTTATAATTTGCAACCTCATGTTTCAATGCCATAACCTATCAAATAAAATGAAAGGAATAGTCACCAGTAAACACTGTGTTGGGTAAAATAAATAATGCTAGTCTATAACAGATTCCTGAGTTAATTATGGCAAACTTTATTAAAGACACTAGCATTTCATCCCATTCTCATCTTAGCTACAATTCTTAACATTTAAAATCTCTACACAAAAGTCTAAATGTTCATAAACTTTATCAATTGCAAGACAAATATACTAGTGTATATTCTATTTCTTGATTTGAACGTTTTCAATTTGTACCAGGCTGTTTCAGACTCATGAATAATGAACAGAAACTTGCAATCTATTTTATAAAAACAATGGAATGTTACAATAAGCTGTGAGATTGTAGATACAAAAGTTACATCTAGACATTGTCAGGCTCTCAAAATAATCCACACACAACATTCAATGACTCCCAAGCTTAAAAACAATCCATATTTATTTTAAAGTGCCTTATGAAAAAAACGAACATAATAAAATAAGTGCTTTTGGAATACTGTAAACATACATTTTTCCATAGGGTCAGTATTCTTCCGAATCATAATTTCTGTTCAATCCGCTGGTAGAAAATTACTAGGAATTCTTGGATTACCATTATAGGTCTTAGAAGCACTTTCGGTACGCTGTGACTGATTTCCACAGAAAATTTTTTGACAGCTCACATAACGTAAATTAATCCCAAGCGGAAAAAAGTACATCTACAGTAGTTATCAATATTATATTTGCCTTTATATGTAAAAACTGTTCAATTAAATTCATTCAAAGTCAAGAAGATATCTGATTTAATAATGCTTTTATCAAAACTAGAAGAAAAATAAATCAAGGAAAGAATTGCATTTAATGCCTAATAACACTTGATTGCACTAACATATATCATATAAAACATACAGGAACTAATATGCTAATTCACAATTAATTATTATAAATTGCATTAGAGCATAATAAAATGAGCATACAAAATTTGATTAGTTTACACTGAAATTTTTTTTTTTGTTTTTTTTTTTTGCTTTTGGATACCAATTCTGACACTTCTACTAAAGCTTTGATTAGAACATCATCACTGGTTCAGACCTGAAAAAAAAAACTCTAGTGTGACCTCCATTTTCAAACAAATTTCTCACACAACCCGATTGATCTCCGCATCGACTTTCCTCTGATAGCCTGATGTCCTCTGGAAAGTTCGGACCATTTCCTGTCCATCTGTTGATTGGACAGTATAATTACTCTCAATCCCATAATCCTCCTGGTTCTCTGCATCCTCATCCAATATGTCTGCTGCTACATCTCTGAGAATCAGTTTTTCTTTCATTTGACGTCTGCTCTGTCTGTGGGAGGATCTAGATGTCTTGTTTGAGGTGGAGTCACTGTTTACAGGAGCAGAGTTAATGGCGATTCTCTCAGGACAGTATTCTGATCCAGACCATAGGATTCTAAAAACAGAATTATCACTGGTCAAGAAATAGGATTTATATGAGTGTTCAAATTAGTTTAAAGTCTTAAGATACTTGGAAGAATCATTTTATCAAATGTCTATTTTATCATATTTAACCTAAACAGAGTTCATTCCCTTGATTATGATTTTTAAGTTATCCCATGGTGTTAATCAAACGTCCTTTTTTTAAAAATGATTAAAAATGAAACCAGCATCTCTAAACTACTGTTATACAGATCATTAGTTATAAAAGTGATCTAAATTTCAGTAATATTTAGTAGTAAAATTATCTACCTATGATTTCCATCAGATAAAAAATATGTTAAAGGTAGTTAAGATTAAAAAAAAAAAAAACCTTGTAAATAGCATATTTTGACATTTTTTTTTTTTTTTGTGATTTTAGAATGGGATTTTAATTATGTGACAAATATCAGAAGAGAAACAATACCAGTATAAACACAGACTGAAATTGATGATGGGATATTAATTCTACTTCACTAAAATCCATTGTGATGATGTTGTCCAAGTGTTCCATTTTTTTGGGGGGGGGGATATTTAAAATAGCTAATTTTTCCTTAAAATTGTTGAGCCCAGAAATAAAGTAAGCGAAATTTCAAAGGGGACTTCAAAAGAAAGTATTTTCATTCCATGCAAGCCTATCAGCTCCATTACTTGTTAGCAATGGAGAGGTGCACATACACTGTCTATTAGTACAATGTATTACAATAGGGTCAATAGAATTGCAACAATGCCTCTATCAGTAATTCAATCACTTTGATTAGAAAACTGTAATTAAGAATAAGAAATTGTTCCAACTTAACTATCTTCCTAAAGCAAAAAAAGCTGCTGAAAGATGCGAGAACATGAAAGAGAAACTGAGAGATATCTATGGAACGCCGGGACTGTTTTATATGAGAATTAAACATTATATGCAGTGTTCTCTTCATTATATGTGGTACTATTTTGATTATATGAAGTAGTTTTTACATTATATCATGTGCAACTTCCATTATACACAGTACTTCTTTTATTATATGATGTAGATATGTCTTTATATTATGTACATCTATCATTATATGAGGTGGTTTTATCATTATATGAAGTGCTTTTAACATTGTATGCGGTAGATCAACATTATTTGCAGTGAACACAATATATTATGTACTTCTCACATTATATACAGTATATTAATCATTATATGTAGTATTTCTGTTATTATGATGATGCTGATTGTCAAATATTATGCCTGGTCCTGTTAGCATTCCGTGCGGTAGATTTTGCATTTCGTTATGATGTAGACACAGTATTATATGCGGTGCTTTCTTCTTTATGATCTTTTGGAAGCTACCTTTCAGAACCCTCCTTGTTAAATTTAGAAAGTTCTACCTTTTTTTGTTCTTAGATATGAAGATTCTTAATGATTTTGGGTTATCTTTAATAATAACCCAAATTGTTTATCAACCACACGTCAGCCAAAGCATCGCAGAATAATCACATACCACACATTATTACATTTTGAACAGTGAAATACCGTGATTTATTTATTGAATAAAAGTGATATTCTCTCACAGTGTGAAAGGATACCAAAATGATATTCTCTCACAGTGTGAAAGGAAATCAAAGTAAGTAAAAATTAATTTCTGGCCTGTCATAAGATAGAGATATTAACTAAGCATCTTGATAGAGCTAAAACTGCAAATTTCTTTCCAAATATGTTGCTAAAATCCATGCTATGTAATGTTTTCAATCACATAACTGCAGCGCTAGGCTATGACGTCTCAACCGCTCAACTATGACGTCAAGCCTATGACACTGTGTTAAGAAAAGACAGAGGCAAAGGGAAAATCAAAGAAAATGTAATAAACAGAAAATTCAATGTTTTGTAGATGAATATGGAATTTATTTCACGAGTGGGACAGGATTTTGTGATATTTTCACTCGTGCTTTGCACTCGTGAAAATATCACAAAATCCTGTCCCACTCGTGAAATAAATTCCATATTCATCTACAAAACATTGAATATCCTCTATATATTTATCCTTACATTAAAGGAATTTCGAAGTCATATCAATACTTCAGTAGTTTACAACGAGAGAGAGAGAGATGCACCTATTACTGAAATAATCTTATTGTTCCATTGTATTGTTAAACTATGGCGTATGAAAAATTGTTGAAATTGTCTTTAGTTATACTATGTGAATGTTATGTAATGTATCAGGAAAAGATAAACAATTTTCAGAACAGAAAATGTATTGAGTTGTGGGTTTTACTTCAAGATTAATATTTTCTTTCTTAAAAGATATGTGGTAAAATTACTCAGTAATACAACGTATACATATATATATATATATATATATATATATATATATATATATATATAGAACCCCCTCTACCAAATAAAATGAGAGATAAAAGGGTAATGCACATTGTGAAAAATTAGCACATCCCACCCTAAAAATAAACAAACAAACAAATAAATAAATACATGCAGTGTTTTCTGTAAGTCTTTGTTAATGCCCTGCCTACTCGAAGGCATAGGAATGCAGATAGTTTTTTATTATCTTTTTTGACACTGATTGTTCTATATATGAAATGAATCTTTTTTAATGTCATATTGTTCACAAAAAAAGATAGAAAATGCCTCAAATTTTTTTCCACTCCCAAAATATTTCTATTATACCCAACACCCCCCCTCTCTCTCTCTCTCTTTACTTCATACCATGAAATAGAATGGATTTTATTTTACTCTATTACCCTACTTCATATCTTTCAAAAACGTTTTAACTTGTTCACGAAGCATTAATTATTAACTGCTTTAATGTATATATGCATGCTTTTATTGTACCGAGGTCGGAATTCTCAAGGTCGATCAAAAGAAGAACCGATTTTTTAACAGAGAATTCCGAAAGGTAGCTTCCAAAAGATCATACACATAAAGAAGAGAGCACCGCATATAATACTGTGTCTACATCATAACGAAATGCAAAATCTACCGCACGGAATGTTAACAGGACCAGGCATAATATTTGACAATCAGCATCATCGTAATAACAGAAATACTACATATAATGATGAATATACTGTATATAATGTGAGAAGAACATAATATATTGTTGTGTTCACTGCATATAATGTTAAATCTACCATATATAATGTTAAAAGCACTTCATATAATGATAAAACCACCTCATATAATGATACTGTAGATTTCTTATTTTTCGCGAGTACTTATTTTCGCGAAATGACTCTTTGACGTCAAATCGCAAGAACAATAATGGACGGTTGATCAAGAGATTTTACATTAATTTCAGGACCATAAAAATAAAAGCGAGTAATTTTATTTCGCGAGTGGTGCTTCTCGCGTAATTACGCGATAATTAATTCCTCACGTATATTTAGGAATCTACAGTAGATGTACATAATATAATGACATATCTACATCATATAATGAAAGAAGTACTGTATATAATGGAAGTTGCACACGATATACTGTAAAAACTACTTCATATAATTAAAATAGTACCACATATAATGAAGAGAACACTGCATATAATGTTTAATTCTCATATAAAACAGTCCCGGCGTTCCATAGATATCCTTGTTTTTAAGACTGAGAACTTGAATAATTGTTGACAAGCAATATGATAATTTGATTAATGATGTAAATGGCAAAAGATTACTCACACTTCATTCAAAATACCAAAAATTATACACACCACTCCAAAACCAATTGAATTAAGTATTTCCAAACTTCGCTCACAGTGAAACATGATTATACCATTCGGGTAGTATTAACTCAAAATCACTTCTTTATATATCATCATAATATATATAATTCATCGTATCCTTTTAAAAATTCATTATTTTTGTCATACTTGTGACAAGGTTTTCACTATAAGCATATTTTCCTGAGTATATATAAAAGTTATTGTCTAACCATCTAATATATCAAGTCAGAAACAGTGCATCAGTAGTTAGTGAAATAACTGGTCATGAATCTACCTTTTAATACTTAATCTTTTTGGGAGAATAATTTGTTCCTCTTAGGCGCAGTCTACAAATCAAACAAGTCTGGGTGATTGTTAATTGCACAATGCTCATAACTTTAGTAAAGAGATTAGTATGGCAGAATCCATCAATCAATATTTGCATGCCAGACATACTAGTCATTTTAAAATTAAGAGTGCCATTCGATATTAAAAGTTACTTTTCTTACATGTTACAATATGTCAGCAAGTATTTTATAAATTTGAAGTCTGTAGCTAAATTTTAGTCCAACGACATTTGTCTTGTGGCTAGAAATTAGCATGGCCCTCTTTGCTACTTGCTTACTTAATTTTTAGTTACAATACCTCCTTTTTACAGAAATGTTTTTATAACCAACAGATGACATAATGTCTAGTACAGATACTTATCAATGTACAATGAATGCATTTACTATATATGACTAAATGACATGAATTATTGTACTGAAACTTATCGTTGTACAATGAATGCCGTGATTACCAGGAAGTATTGTATGGATACTTACCACTGTACAATGAATGCCGTGATAACCAGGAAGTATTGTACGGATACTTACACTGCTGTACAATGAATGCCGTGATAACCAGGAAGTATTGTACGGATACTTACACTGCTGTACAATGAATGCCGTGATAACCAGGAAGTATTTTACAGATACTTACCATTGTACAATGAATTCCGTGATAACCAGGAAGTATTGTACTGAAACTTACCTCTGTACAATGAATGCCGTGATAACCAGGAAGTATTGTGCAGATACTTACCGCTGTACAATGAATGCCATGATAACCAGGAAGTATTGTACTGAAACTTACCTCTGTACAATGAATGCCGTGATAACCAGGAAGTATTGTGCAGATACTTACCGCTGTACAATGAATGCCATGATAACCAGGAAGTATTGTACTGAAACTTACCTCTGTACAATGAATGCCGTGATAACCAGGAAGTATTGTGCAGATACTTACCGCTGTACAATGAATGTCTTCATAACCAGGAAGTATTGTGCAGATACTTACCGCTGTACAATGAATGCCATGATAACCAGGAAGTATTGTACAGATACTTACCGCTGTACAATGAATGCCGTGATAACCAGGAAGTATTAACTCATACTTACACCGCTGTACAATGAATGCCGTGATAACCAGGAAGTATTGTACTCATACTTACCATTGTACAATGAATGCCGTGATAACCAGGAAGTAGTGTACGGATACTTACCGCTGTACAATGAATGCAGTGATAACCAAAAGAGCTGACATTATGTCTACAGTCATCCACAAGATCAGGTAATTCCTCGGAGACTGAAAATAAACAACAAACATCTCAAGAAAAATAAAATACATGTAATTCAGTGTATATATCAACAACATCTGTTGCTTTAAGCAGGAAATATCTCACTCATCCTTCAAATTCATATCATTCAAACCCATACATTTCAGTGAAATAGCTCTTTAGAATATACCTAGGTTTGTAGTCTACAATGTGGACTTACCAGGTGAAATATTGGAGTCTGTAGACCGGACAGTGTATGACAGTTGTCCGTTGTTACCGAGGGCACACCCATACACCAATACAGAGAAAACAGCCAGTACTCGTTTACAACAAAGATGTTCACGCTAATATTATTGGTGTTATACTCCCTGGAAAATTCAAATACTGTCTATTGAAGTTGTATGAAATTTTTTTTATGATACAGTCATTGTGTGAGAATGGTATATATCCTTTAACTGACCAGAAAAAAAAACCCATTGTAATATGCACTAAATTTTTAGAATAAATATAAATGACATACAGTGATTTAAATATAATACAATTTTGTTTGATATGAAAACAACAATTTTTTTTACATCAATACTTCTACAGAATTTATTTTTTAACCAATTGGGGTTCTAAATCTTAATCTTGTGAATGTTAATTGACATTTATAGAGTTCTATTCAAGATTTCATTAAGCACAGAAAACCTACGCCTCCAAAGTTTGATCAATATAGAGTTTATAGTTACTTTAACCTGGTCACTTATCCGGAAAATGTAGGTCAGATCCAGCATCTGAAGCAAGTCTGGTAGTGTGCATCCTTAGATGTAATCATCCATGCAAATTTGGTCAATACAGGACTTATAGTTACTTGGAAATAAAACCTGCTCTAAAAACATTAACCTGGTCATTCTTTAGCTGAAATTGCAGCATCTGAAATCTTGACTGGCACAATGAAAGATACTAGAAGCATCTTGCATGCATCTCTGATTAATATAAGGCACAGAAGTACTTGAAAAGATATCTGCTCCAAAAACTTTAGCCTGGAAAACCGACAGTATATTAATAGACAAGCACCCCTAACTTCGTTGAGGTGAGCTAAAAATCAAAACTGCCCAGTTTTAGATGATTATACATTAAATATCACTTGGGCCCTTGTTGACTGCATACCTATTGAAAATGAAGTAATTTTCTCACTAGTCAATGCATTATGAAGTCATGAATTGGGTCATTATACCCATATTCTGAAAATCACTTCAGAAATGGTCAAAAATCTAAGCTATTTTTCAATGTTTGTAAACAGCACAACTTAATTCTGATCTAAAATGTGCTAAAGGTACTCAATTACACCTGCAAAAATGCAAGAACATTTCAGTTTCAGAAAGCCAGTTTTATAATACTGGACTCTCAAAGGAATCTTTGTTATAGGAAATGAAAGCACTACATCTCTACTGAATAATGATGTTTGAAATGGGACATAGGGTGCTAGTATATTAACTGGGATATGGACAGGGCAATTTTAATTTGCATAAAGTGAACCTAGCTCTTTCCATCTCTACAAGATTTCTCCCAGAAAGCAGTTTTAAATCTTGACCTTTATATCTAAATTTCCTTGTCTTAGGGTTATTAGACAGCTTCTCATTGTAAGAAAACATTTTGCTAAGCATGAGAACCTACAATCTCAATATCATGAATTTAAAGCCCTGACGGAAAATCAAATTTCTAAAACTCTATGAGATTGACCTTGTAGTTGACAAGGAATTGGGCTAAGGACACAATCTTTAGTCAGTAGCCCAATCTTAATCAATATCTATCTACTACTGCCCAAAAACAATGTGGAACACAAACAGACAGACATACAGATATGCTGGTTCCTATATACCGAATATATACTTTGTTTTCTGTGTAAAATACAATATTATAAATATATGAATACATCAAGAAGAGATATTTGGGGGTAATATCCTTTTTTTATGTCTTTGTCTTTCATTAGTAAATTTTTATTTTAATTCATGCAAAACTTACCCAGGATTGAAATAACTCTTTACATATAAAGTGCAGTTCCTCAACTTATAAGTAGGAAGTTAACATGAACATATTTTACAAATAAGAAACCTTCAGACTTACTGTATGTTATCAGAGGAGAGAACATTAAACTTGGTGTTGACCATGGAGATGTTATTTCTTTGGAGGAGACTGGAAGGATAGTAGTAATCTTGGGCCACTGGGGTAAAGCCGGCAGGTGCCTGTCCTTTGTCATCAGTCAGCCACAGAATCTAACAAAACACATATATCTAATCAGCTGACTACATAAACAGTCAAAATATCTAAATATTCTGTAAAAAACCATTTTGATTGTTTACAGTACATGTAATTGCATTTTTATTTCTGCATGTACAATTTCTGCAGATCTGTTTGATCTGCAGTACCAAATATATACTGAAAGGATAAAGAAATGCAGGGTAACATAATATGCAAAAATCCTTTGGGTAAAAATTAAGAAAACTGTTCAGAGGTGTATTTTGGTTACTGTGCATTATAATCACAGTGCAGAATTACTCAGCCGTGAAATGTATGATGTCACATAGGGAAAACTGTTAAAACCTTTGCTATTTTGCAGATATATAGATTACTATAGAAAACATAGCTACTATATGTATGACATCACATAGGGAAAATTGTTAAAACCTTTGCTATTTTGCCGATATATAGATTACTATAGAAAACATAGCTACTATATGTATGACATCACATAGGGAAAATTGTTAAAACCTTTGCTATTTTGCCGATATATAGATCACTATAGAAAACATAGCTACTATATGCTCCTCAATAAAAACGTCTGATGACCTTTTTTTTTTTTTTTAATTTTGTTTGTCAAGGAATTTTTCGTAGTTGATAGTGCTCCATCAACTGAAAATGTACGGCTGTGTCCCCCCCCCCCCCCCCCCAAGTTGAAATTGCTTCCTAAGGTTATTTCAGTATATATGTATACAGAGTATAAGATTTGAATAATAAGTGATTCTATTTTTCTTTAGTTTTAATAAAATTGTAACATTTCCAGGAATGGATTACTACAGAAATGAGCAGTTAATTCTATAACTTACATTTTCGGCCTTCATTCCTCCTTGCTGTATGGCCTCTACAATAAGATTGTCTTTCTTTTCCTTGAACGGATGGTCGTCTGGGGGCTCCCTCACGTCAAACATCAGTGTTGTGTTGGTAGAATTTGAGTATTCCACTAGTTCTAGAAGTGTGGGTATACTTTGATTTCTATACAAAACTTTCCTCTCCTCTGATATCTCACCAACTGTAGACATGGGATCAGTCTGTAAAAGGTAGGCAGTTCTTTTTAAGTACTTACATATGCTCAGATCTGTTTTAAGGTTCACTCACCCTCTGACAAGAGAGATAACTCTCACCAGTATTAATGCCAATACTTCTGTTAAAAATTTGTGATTTTACCAAAAAGTATGCTCAAATTTGTCACATTTCATTTATATTTCTTTTAGAAAAAAAATATCATTACACAAAATTTTACATAAATGACTGCATATCAATTAAGTTGTTTTTTTTAAATAATTTTCAATATACTGAGTACACAATTCTGAGTTTAAGCAAAAAAAATTCACTTACCTCAATAAACCATATCCCAGCATTCAATTCTTTTATTTGTGAAAAATTAAAATAAGATACATCCTGATTCACCAGACTTGGAAAGACTTGATCAATATTTGTAGTTCTTTGAAATGTGGAGTCATGACAAAGAAATGGGACACCATCCAAACTGTAAAAACAAGAACCAATTAAGAAGAATGTCCTGAAACATTTACAGAATTGATAGATTGACTTATATTAAATGTAAAAGAAGGAACCAAATGCATATATTGTCACTGAACAGACAATGATTATGGTCTTTCAGTGTTGTTCGATTACTAATTGATAAATACAAATGCAAATGTGTAAATATACGTTACTCACATTAATTATTACTGTGAGCAATAACTTTTCAAGAGGTTCAAGGGCCTTAATGGTCACCTAAGTATCATGAGTTTCTCACACTATGTCAATCCTAGTGCAGTGTGAAAAACTTTATTTCAAAGTGAAGGGTTAGAGATCAATTGTAACAGGCTTAGGTTGAAGTTTATGACAAATCTCTGTGGACCTTACAACAATTAAATTTTGATTTTTTATTTCAATGCAGCATTTTTATCCACTGAAGCGGTCAATTTGGCCGATGGCCGGTTCTTAGCGAAAACACTGCTAATGAAACTGGACTGAACTCTGATCTCAAGTAAAATAACAAGAGGCCCATGGACCACAAAGCTCACTTGAGTCACTTTGACCCTGCTGTTCTGCATCAGTGTTTTTTTTTTCATCAATATACCTGTATTTCTTTATTAAGTTTTGATCATCTTTTGTGGTCCACCATTTACACAGCTGAGGCAGTAACTTGAGCAAAAATAAATCAGGTCTACACTACCATAGGATGCTTCCACATTAATATGTTTCATCATGGCTATGCTGTTCTTCAGAAGAAGAGTTTTAAAAATTTTCCCTATATAATCCCTATTCTGACCCAACCCTATCCCCGGGAACCATGATCTGAACAATTTAAAATCTAAACTACTTTAAGAAGTTTCCATGTAAGTTTTAGTTTTTCTGGCACACTGGTCCTTGAGAAGATTTTTCCTATATATTTCAATGTAAAACTTTGATCCCCTATTGTGGCCCCACCACATATCCAGGGGGCATAATTTGAACAATTTAAAATCTTAAGTACAGTACAGGCCACGAGTTTTCCCTGTCGCAGAGTGGAAAACACACCATGTGAAATCCTCTGTGTCACACCGTGTACACAGTGTAGCACGGTGTGTGTGGATTTGAAATACACAGGTAGGCTCACCGTGCCGCACCGTGTCTTGAATAATCCCAGCTAATGCCCCCCATGTCGCACCGTGCCCAAAAAATTCCCTCCATGCCGCAAAACTAAACTTAGTTGGGGAAAACTCGTGGCCTGTACTATACTTTAGGAAGCTTCCACATAAATTTCAGCTTTTCTGGCCCAATAGTTGAGAAGAAGATTTTTAAAGATTTTTCCTATATACTTCAATGTAAAAATTTTACCCCTATTGTGGCCCCACTCTACCCCCATGATTTGAACAATTTAAAATCTACACTACCTCAGAAAGCTTCCAGCTTTTCTGGCCCAATGGTTCTTGAAAAGAAGATTTTCAAAGATTTCTCCTAAATATTTCAATGTAAAACTTTGATCCCCTATTGTGGCCCCTCCCTACCATGAGGGGTAATCATAAAATTTCATTTTAAAAATTTAGAATCCCCTTTACCCAGGAATGCTTTGTACCAACTTTGGTAAAAATTGGCCCAGTGGTTCTCGAGAAGAAGATAAAAATGTGAAAAATGTGAAACGTTTACAGACAGACAGAGAGCTAGATGGATGCCAGACAACTGGTGATCAGAAAAGCTCACTTGAGCTTTCAGCTCAGATGAGCTAAAACTTTAAATTATAAAGAACATACCTAATTCGGACATCACTTTCAAATCCAGCTACTTTATACTCATTGGCTACTTGGAATGATGCTAAAGTATTTTCTGGAGCAATCTGAAACATAAATTCATGAATTTCCTAGAACACAAGGATAACATGTCACATAGCTACAGAGCAATTTGCTAAAACACTTTATGCTCTACAAATTAAAATAATGGAAACCAAAAAATAGTAATCAAAGATAAATATACAACTTCCCTCAAAAAATGGTACAGACCCTAAAACGTGCTACTACACCACTTGCACGGTTCGGTTCGTTTCGCTTTGTGTACGGTACGGTACGCTTCTTGCACGGAACGGTACGCTTTGTGAACGGTACGGTTCGCTTTGTGCACGGTACGGTACGCTTCTTGTACGGAACAGTTCGTTTTGTGTACGGTACGGTTCGCTTTGTGCACGGTACGGTACGCTTCTTGCACGGAACGGTTCGTTTTGTGAACGGTACGCTTTGGTGAATGGTATGTAAATTAAGTGGGCGGAGCCTGTACGCTTTAGTTTATGATTGGCTACTTCATAAAGTCGTTTATTTCTTTATTATAATTTCTTTATTTTATATAAATGGAAGGACGGTATCGCAAGCATTTTTAATAAGTTGTTTTTAATTAGTCAAAGCTGTTATAAATATTTCCTTTTTACAGCTGTGTTTTCGTTATTACATGTAACTAGTCGTCTTATTAACTGTATCTTTTTTAATTTACTTTCTGTATTCGAACTACTTTTAATTTTTGAAATGAATAATTTTAGCTGTCTAGTTATTATCATTTTGTACACCATCTCCTTATGGTTCAATAACTTTGAAATAGATCGAACATATCAACAAACACTGCATAACAAGGATGAAAAAAAATATTTTGGTTGCGTCGCCATAAAGGCCTTTCTGTAATTTTTTTAAGAATAATCGTACATATATTTTTTATTTCCTTTCAATTTTCCTAATTGAATACAATTATTAGTTTAAATACTGACTTATCATAGTTTTAAACAAATGAGTTTGATTTTATAAATCCCTCATGCTCTCATTTCGTCTACCATTCTTTTTACATTCTTGCCGCTGTTGCTTCATTAAAAAAAAACAAAAACAAACAACAACAAAAATTTTCTCTTGACCGAATGATCAAAGAAACAATTAAAAAAATAAGTTATTGTTTTCATATTAATTTGTGAGGAATTTTATTTTATTATTTTTTTTACATAGATTGCTTAGGTGTTTGGCTCACCAGGGTTAGAAACTCCCTAAAATTACAACTCGCAAATAATTGCGAGTACCAAGAAAGTGAACTCGCAATTTTATAAGCCTACTCGCAATTTTCATATAAAGTTAAATTATATATAAATTAAATACATGCTGTACATGTAACTTAAGGAAAAAGTAACTATTGTACAATACACAAAATACAACTACAGTGTGACTTTTAGTTAAATTACTGATTTAAATCAAAAGCATTGCGTTCTGTCATACTATGTAATTTTGTTACAGTTTCAATGCAAAAAAATTAACTCGCAAGTTTTTGCGAGTTACCTAATTTTTAACTCGCAATTTGGGAATTCTAACTCGCGTTTTGCGAGTTGTATATAGTGAATTTCGAACCCTGGCTCACTAAGAAAAATACATTGAAAAGTAATCGGTAGAAGTGCACACAATTAGTGCAAAAAATAACTTAATTTTGTGCGCGGAATTGTTTTCCTTTTTACATAAGTTTTCCATCAGTGTGTAAAAATGCTTTTTAAAGGGAAGTTACAATCGAGAAAACGGTTAAGACAGCTTCAATTCCATCTACAATGTATAAATGTATATTAATATATATTGACTGCAAAGAAAGATTTCCGAAATAAATAATATGTCAAAATGTTAGAAATAAATAGTCCGTTTTTAATTACCTAAAAAATAAATAATATGCAGCCATGTGTGTCCTTAAAATCTTTGAAAATGAATAATTTGCCCATGCCGGGTGCTACCCCCCCCCCCCCCCTTTGTTTCCTTGTCAAACTCAAACTTTTGTATTGAAGATCTAGAAAAAAAAAGCTGTCTGCACATGAAATCCTACTTATCTGCTGATTAAAACTGGTGGGTTCATTGTTGTAGACTTACTGTATAAGACAGCAAACTGTTGATACACGTGTGAATGTAGGCATATTTGGACTAACGGGATTAGATACGGTTCAATATACACAGTTTAAGTTTTTACCTGTGCACGTGTGGTGACAATACTTGATCGAAATTTTCAAATGTTTTAGAGTAAATAACGAAAGTATGGAAAGACGTCAGTCTAGATAACAAGACCATGTCAAGAAATGTACAGTGTTTCTTAAAAAAAAAATGGATGAACATGCATGCACGGACGAATCATTAAAAGAAAAAGATTAATCTTGGCTTTACGTGTAAATTCCAGGTAACATATTTTACCTGCAGGTTTCAGTGAATAAAGCAAATGAAATGGGAAAATACTTTAAATAAAAATTAATTCTGACATATATCCATTTTTTTTTTTTTTTTTTTTTTTTTTGATTACGTGTATTAAACTGAAAATTCCATGCGAAAATGTGGCGATCGAACCTTTTGACAGTATGTTATATTGGCGATAACATCTTAGGTTGGTCAGAAGAGTGTAAACCAACACAGTTATTTATATATACATCGCTTTTATTTTTTTCTATTGATTGAGAGGCGTTTACATTTGAACATGTCCGGTTTCAAATTGACAATTTAGTTTCGTAATTTTTTTTTTTTTTTTTTTTTTTTTTTTTTTTTTTTTTTTTTGTTTGTAATCATTTCTCCCTAAAACTATTACTTACATGAATAAAAAATGAAACTAAGGGCTTGATTTCGGAAAATAGCACAGAATCCTAATACATTTTTCAATTTGTCTTAGTTTCCGAGAACGTCCATAGAGACAAGAATAGGGTAGAGTAAAGCTATAGAAATAAACGATAAAGTACTTAATTCACTTTTATTTATTATAAATTGTACACGAAAATATTACGATGCTGCATTTAATATGAAAAAAAGTTAGTCAAGCACAACCCGATCATGCATAGCGAATAAGGAATCGCCTCACACTCTGTCGAGTTGTTTTGAAGTCGTAATTAGTTTTGAGTAGTTTCCTTATATTAACAGATGTAAGTCCAGATGCATGGAACTAAATAATAATATTTTGAATCTCTAAGTTATTTTCCATCCTTCTTTAACGGGCGCTGCGTCAAAAGAAATAATAAAAAAAATTACTTCCTGTAATTGGTCATCGTAAGATCGGGGCGTGGCTTGCATAATTATTTCAAAAATTATTCATGAACGGTACGGTTCGCTTTGTGCACGGTACGGTACGCTTCTTGTACGGAACGGTTCGCTTTGTGTACGGTACGGTTCGCTTTGTGCACGGTACGGTACGCTTCTTGCACGGTACGGTTCGTTTTGTGTACGGTACGGTTCGCTTTGTGTACGGTACGGTACGCTTCTTGCACGGTACGGTACGCTTCTTGCACGGAACGGTACGGTTCGTTTCTGAGGTGTAGTAGCACGTTTTAGGGTCTGTATCTATATGTTATCACATGAATATCAATTAGATGAATAACTCAATTTTATAGTGATAGTATTTAGCCAAACATCTCACATTACCGGTATACATGTAATATCAGAAATGAGACTGCAGTAGCATGCATCCCAATTGCATGCTTTATGCATTTTGGTCCAAGTAGAATTTATTGTGTTCTGGAAATGGACCTGCTACAAAAATTTATCTGGAACTTATAGGTCAGCATCCAAAGAATGGCAGTACATAGTTCTGGATGATTCATATATGCAAGTTTAGTCAATGTAGGACATGCAGTAAAATTTGTTTAGTGTATTACTAAAATACAAATTTATGGATAAAGCAATTAGTTGGGAGACTCTGGCAACGTTTTTATCAATTCTTTGTAAAATTTTATGAATAATGAATTCTGATATTAAAATTTTACAGATAAAGTGATTTCATTTTGTGTCTGTATATTAAATTGACACTATTGTTTGTAAGCATTTTAAATTTTATCAAACAGAAAACTTTAGTACTCCAGTGTACAGGTTTTCATTTTATACTTTTGAAAATGAGCATATCTGGTACTAGAAAGAAAAAAATGTGTATTTTCCTACTTCACTTTATAAACGTTTATAGATAAGTAATATGGATATAACGAATTAATAAATTAGTGGATATAACGAATTACTAAATTAATGAAGATTATCCAGAGGTCCCAAGGACTTACTATAACCAAGTTTTACTTTAGTTATTTGGGAGTGGAACAAACTCCAATAACTTTAACCTCGTAACTTATCCAGGGAACATTGGTCAGATGCTGCATCAAAGCATTGCATACATGTATGTCATCTATGTTATTTTGTCCAGGTAAGGCTTAAATATATGTATATGTAGGTATTTGTAGTTACATGAGCATGGTGGTGAACATATGTAAGCTCATCTGAATACACCAATTTCATTATAAATAAACAAGCTTACTGCTGAGGCCCCTCTTTGAGCCAGAAGTCGAGGTTTGGGTGGCAGTTTTGAGATCAATACAACACACGGAGAATTGATGAATAATGGAGATATATACAGTCCTGTCATCAAAGCCAGATAAACAACCAACCAAAAAAGCTGTCCACCTGAAAAAAATTTTTGTGTATTTCATTACTGTGATCTTCATAAAACTGGGGGGGGGGGGGGGGGGATTTACCATAACTGCAATTTTTTTGTCAGTGTTTTTGTCAACACTCTTACAAATACACAATGCTAGATAAATATCAGTTTTTCAAATACTGAAAAATAGTGGTTAATATATACATACTGTAAAATCACTTATTTTCGTGGGGTAAAATTCTCTTGGTTTGAGGAAAAAATATTGGTGTGTGAGGATTTGATTTTGTGGTTGAAGATGTTTTTGAGTTGTTAAATATTTGAATACTTACATTTTGTGGAGGACATGAATTTGTGGGTCTCATACCATGAAAAGAACAAAAATTAAACCCCCAGGAAAACTAGTGATTTCACAGTATCCTGAATATTGTCTGATATGTTGAATAAGAATGTGATAAATAAGAAAACATATTCTCCGTGTTATTTTACTTCTTCAATTCTTAAAACAGAAACAAAGTAAGAAATCAAGAGGAATTTTGTTACAGCTTGATAGTATTTTACATAGAATGGTACTTACACGTAGAGGACAGAGTGAACCATTGTCTGGCTATTAACCAGGATAATAAAGTCATCACAGCCACGCCCCCTACTTGTAGATAGGGACCAAATATCTATAAATAGAAACAACACAAAAATTAGCAACCAGTGAATTGTAGAAAAATAACTATCATTTATTAGGATTGTCTATGGACTTAAACAACCCGACATATTTCCATAGACAGTCAGCAACAAACCTATTAAGTGTTTTGTTCTGTCCAGGATCAAGAATTTTTAGTAGTGATGGGAATCGGTAAGAATTTCATAATCGATGATCGGGCTACTGTAACTAACTAATTATCAATTATAATCGGACATTTACAAAGTCTGTCAATTTAGTTTAATAAATGGTAAGAATGGGTGAATAACAACTTTCTGTGATGTTCCAGCTGGTTCTTCATTCATTATGTAGAACCCAAAGTATGTTCATACTCGGGAATGAGTGTTGTTACCTGGGTATGAATACAACTGTCTGTTAGTCTGCACCATTACGATACACAAATAAGTTAGTAGATAAGTCGCAGCTGGAATATTTGGCTTAAAAACTATTATGCTTGTAAAATAAAAAATAAGCCGATTAATCGGAATAAAAATTTTGTAATCGAGCGCTTGGATTATGCCAGCAATCGACTGATTTTTGATTATAATCGATGATTGGAACACCACTAATTTTAGGGTATGTAAATAAAACTGAGATCTTAAAAGTATGGTAAATTGTTGTGTCAACATTAACATGTTCCCTTCTTAATTTTACTACTTGTTGCCTAAATATATTTAGAGGGCAAATATAAGACACTTTATATCCAGTAACAGAGCAAGAATCTAGTTTAAAGCAAATTAAATATATATGTATGTCATTGTATAT